GGCATTGAAGGAAATGATGAGTGATGTGGGGGCGGGGTGGTGGGAGGGGGTCGTGGTCACTCACACCAAGTGAGTTTGAAGTGCAAAGTGAAAGAGGTTTATTATTTATTTATTTTTTTTGGGGGGGGGGACGGAGTTTTGCTCTTGTTACCCAGGCTGGAGTGCAACGGCGCGATCTCGGCTCACCGCAACCTCCGCCTCCTGGGTTCAGGCAATTCTCCTGCCTCAGCCTCCTGAGTAGCTGGGATTACAGGCACGTGCCACCGTGCCCAGCTAATTTTTTGCATTTTTAGTAGAGACGGGGTTTCACCGTGCTGACCAGGATGGTCTTGATCTTTTGACCTCGTGATCCACCTGCCTCGGCCTCCCAAAGTGCTGGGATTACACGCTTGAGCCACCGCGCCCGGCCTGAAAGGTTTATTAAGGCCGGGCGCGTTGGCTCATAGTATAATCCCAGTACTTTGGGAGGCCGAGGAGGGTGGATCACTTGAGGTCAGGAGTTCAGGACTATCCTGGTGAACATGGTGAAACCCCCTCTCTACTAAAAATACAAAAAATTAGCCCGGCTTGGTGGCAGGCACCTGTAATCCCAGCTACTTGGGAGGCTGAGGAGGGAGAATCGCTTGAACCCAGGAGGCGGAGGTTGCAGTGAGCCAAGATCATACCACCGCACTCCAGGCTGGGCGACACAGCGAGACTCTGTCTCAAAAAAAAAAGGAAAGGAATAAAAGTTAGACCATAGAGGGTAACTTGCCATGGCATTTGTAAACTATCATGGCGCTGACGGAAGTGTAACAGTGAGGACGACCAAAGGTCACTATCATGGTCATTTTGGTTTTGGTGGGTTTTGGCTGGATTCTCTACTGCGACCTGTTTTATCAGCAAGGTCCTTATGAGCTGTATTTTGGCTGAACTCCTCATCTTGTGATTTAGAATGCCGTGACCATCTGAGAATGTAGCCCAGTAGGTTCCAGCCCCATTTTACCCAGCTCCTATTTAAGATGGAGTTGGTTTGGTTCACACGCCTCTGACACCTTTACCTCTCTGGGCCTCTACGTTCCCATCAGGACATCGGAGCCTCCGAGGGCACAACCCCTGCACTCTGGGAGCCTCTGTGTCCGCACTCAGCCTGGATGGGGGCTCAGTGTGGACTCTCTTTTGTTGGGTCATGGTTGGCCAGTGCTAGGCCAAGCTAGGCTAGACATGTGGCCGGAGGGGTAGCGCTTCTACTGTAGGGAGAGGTGGGGGTGCAATTTGTGTAGGGATGACAAGCTCCATCTTGGAGGGCCTTTTCCAGGCCCTTGGGCCGGGCCCCTGATGCTGATGCCCCTGGTTGGGGCCTGAAGAGCTGGTGCCAAGGGCCTGGCCAGCAGGGGTCTGACCTGGCCTTTGGCCCTCTGTCTCCATTGCCCTGCACCTCTCAATTATTTTTTTCTTTGTTTGTTTGAGACAGAGTCTTGCTCTGTTGCCCAGGCTGGAGTATAGTGGTGAGATCTTGGCTTACTGCAACCTCTGCCTCCCAGGTTCAAGTGATTCTTCTGCCACAGCCTTCTGAGTAGCTAGGGTTACGTGCGTGCCACCATGCCTGGCTAATTTTTGTGTTTTTAGTAGATATGGGGTTTCGCCAGGTGGTCAGGCTGGTCTGGAACTCCTGGCCTTGTGATCCACCCATGTCTGCCTCCCAAAGTGCTTGGATTGCAGGCATGAGCCACCGTGCCCAGCCGATTTTTCTTTTTTTTTTTTTTTTCTTAGAGACGGAGTCTCACTCTGTCACCCAGGCTGGAGTGCAATGGCTCGATCTCAACTCACTGCAGCCTCCGCCTCCTGGGTTCAAGTGATTTTTGTCCTGCCTCGGCCTCCTGAGTAGCTGAGATTACAGGCACCCACCACCATGCACAGCTAATTTTTGTATTTTTAGTAGAGATGGGGTTTCACCATGTTGGCCAGGATGGTCTCAATCTCTTGACCTCATGATCTGCCCACCTCAACCTCCCAAAATGCTGGGGTTACAGGCATGAGTCACCTCGCCCGGCCATTCCCTGCACCACTTCTCACTCCTTACTTCCTAAGACAAGTCATGGGGGATCCTGGTGATGGGAGCTATGGCGGGGCTTAGAGCAGGGGAGTAGCCACAGCAACACGCTAACTGGGAACAGCTCCCTGGCGACGGGGTGGGAAGTGGTGAGCCTGGAGGCAGGGGCAGGCAGGAGGGGTGTGCCAGGCCCGGCTGACAAAGCCCAGGACATGGGCCGTAACTGTGAGGCCTGTCTCGGGCCCAGGAGCATGCTTTGGGCCTGAGGTCACCCGGGTATTGGGCTGTGGCCAAGTTGGCCCCATAAGTAGTTTCTATTCCTGGGTCTTGGGCTCTGACACCAAATATGGCGTGGCCCAAGTCTGGCACCCCCAGCTGTGGTCCAGCGACATCTCCTGTCCCTCCAGGTGGGCCCAGACCCCACCCACACCATGGAGGCAGATCATTCTAGTACTTGGGGCCCCCAAGTGGCCAGGGGCCTGCGCTGCTGCTCCTGGTCCTCCAACTGCCCACCCGTCCGCGTGATTCACGTGAAGTTAAAATTACCCAGGACCAAAATAGGCTCTCTCCCTGCAGAAGAAAGACGGGGCAGGGGGACACCGTGTTTTGTTTTACACCACAGTCCTGTCCTTGCTACCCCCATCCCAGGCAGCTCACCTGGCCTCTGACCCCACAGTGATCTGCACACTCACTGGTTCACTCTCAGTGCTCGCTCACCCGTTAATTCACTCACTCATTGATTCATTCATTTACTGATCATGTATTAATTTTTTTTTCTTTCTTTTTTTTTTTTTTTAAAGATGGGGTTTCACCATGATGGCCAGGCTTGTTTTGAACTCCTGACCTCAGGTGATCCACCCACCTCAGCCTCCCAAAGTGTTAGGATTACAGGCGTGAGCCACTGCGCCCGGCTACAGATCATGTATTAATTCACTTGGTGGTTAATTCATGTAATCACTGATTATTTATTGACTACATACTAAGTGCTGGGCACTGTTCTATCATTCCAGAGCTGAACAAAACATAAGGCCAAGCACAGTGGCTCATGCCTGTAATCGCAGCACTTTGGGAGGCCAAGGCAGGCGGATCACAAGGTTGGGAGTTCAAGACCAGCCTCGCCAATATGTTGAAACCCATCTCTATTAAAAATACAAAAAATTAGCTGGGCATGGTGGTGGGCACCTGCAGTCCCAGCTACTCGGCAGGCTGAGGCAGGAGAATCACTTAAACTAACGCAGCAGAGGTTGCAGTAAGCCGAGACCGCACCACTGCACTCCAGCCTGGGTGACAGCAAGACTCTGTCTCAAAAAAAAAAACCAAAAACACAAAACATAGCTAGCCTCGTGGGGTTATGTTCCAGACAGACAACCAAAGCAAACAAGTAGGATGTACAGTGTGTTAGAGTAAGTGCAAGGATGAGTAACCTAACGGGGGGCTCTGAAGCAGTGGAGGGGAGTGGGAATTTCACGGGGTCCAGGGAGGACCTGATGGGAAGGGGACTTTTGAGTGGACACCTGAGGGAACAACCTTCCAAGCAGAAGGACAGCAGGTGTCAAGGCCCTGGCAGCTGCACGAGGCCCGAGAAACGGGCGGCCCGGTGTGGCTGGGGCACAGGCAGCAGGTAGAGCAGCAGAATATGAGGTCAGGGTGTGGGGGACACATGGGGCCCAGTGGATCAGGACCTCCCACATCACGCAGGGTCTGAGCTGAGAATGACATGGCCGACGTATTTGTAAAGCATCCTGCTGGCTGTCGAGAGAGTGGGTCAGAGTGAGCCTTTTTCCCATGTGCCTGCTGCGTGCTGAGCTCCGAGCACGTTAGTGGGGAGAGAAGACGCAGGTGCACGCTGGACGCTTGTCCCCATGGTGCTTACGGAGGTCTGGAGCCACCGCGTCTGCTCCGTCTGACGTGCTCATCCTTGGTGCTTAACCAAGTGTCACCCACCCGAGGGGGTCACCATTTTTGTCTGTTTCCTTTATTTTTTTTTTGAGATGGAGTTTCACTCTTACTGCCTAGGCTTGAGTGCAATGGTGCGATCTCAGCTCACCGTAACCTCTGCCTCCTGGGTTCAAGCGATTCTCCTGCCTCAGCCTCCTGAGTAGCTGGCATTACAGGCATGTGTCACCACACCTGGCTAATATTGTATGTTTAATAGAGATGAGGTTTCTCCATTTTGGTCAGGGGGCTCTCGAACTCCTGACCTCAGGTGATCCCCCCTCGGTCTCCCAAAGTGCTGGAGCCACTACGCCTGGCTTTTTATTGTTTTATTTTATTTTATTTATAGAGATGGGGTTTCACCTTGTTGGTCAGGGTGGTTTCGAAATCCTGACCTCAGGTGATCCACCCACCTTGGCCTCCCAAAGTGCTGGGATTATAGGTGTGAGCCACCATTTTTTTTTTTTTTTTTTTTTTTTTGGAATGCTCAGTGCATTTGAAAAAAAAAAAAAAAGTCCGTCTCTGTCACCCAGGCTGGGGTGCAGTGGCGCAATCTCAGCTTGCCACAACCTCCGCCTCCTGGGTTCAAGCAGTTCTCCTGCCTCAGCCTCCTGAGTAGCTGGGATTACAGGTGTGCGCCACCACACCTGGCTAATTTTTGTACTTTTAGTAGAGACAAGGTTTCGCTGTGTTGGCCAGGCTGTTCTCAAACTCTTGACCACAAGTGATCAGACTTCCTCGGCCTCCCAAAGTGCTGGAATTACAGGCATGAACCACCAGACCTGACCTCTGTTTCTAAATGGTGCTCCCACCAGGCTGAGAGCTCCTTTGGGGCAAGGCTGTGTCTGACTCTCCCCTTCTCCTGGGTACCAGTGCAGGGCCTGTCCTGTCCCTGAGGGTCCCCTGAGAAGTGGAGCAAGTGAATGAATCAGTGAACACGTGAGTCCCAGGCCTGATCTGTGTGTGTGGCCAGGGATACGAGGCCTCTGAGAGCTGGCGACCTGTCTCACTCTCTTCTTGCCATCTTTTGCAGATGGATTTGGAGGCGCTGCAAGTGTGTGGAAGGGCTGCGTTTGTATTGGCAAAGAAGGTCGGCTGCTGAGCCAGGGTGTGTCTCCCGGAGGCCTGCGGGCTGCCAGGATCCCCACCTCTCTGCCATGCGCTGCCAAGACTGGTCAGTTACCAGCCAGTGACATCATCAAGGTTCCCTGCTCTCTACCCTGGTAAGGGCCTAGCCTACGTCACCAAGCGCCAGGCTCCCAGCACCGCCCTCAGCCCGTGTGAGATTGCCACTCCAGCTTCTGCCTGTCCTTGGGAGGGCACCAACTCCCAGCTCCCCTTAGAGCGCAGGTTGCACCCAGTCCCTCGACTCTGGCACCTAACGTAGAAATGATGCAACTGCCCCCGGGCTTGCTGAGGGCAAGAGGGGGTAAGTTTGTCAAAGAGCACTTAGAAATCATTGAGTCATTGCTGGTTCCGCTGGCTGTTAACAGTTGATATGGCTCAGGTCAGCTTGCACCCAGTTCCTGCAACACACGGGGTACACTGGCTAGCCACGTCTCCCAGGCAGGGCGATGCAGTGGTGAGAGCAGAGACCTCAGCCAGGCGGCCTGGGATCTAACTCCTGCGCTGTCACTGCTGGCTGTGGGACTCTGCAGCAGGTACAGCGCTTCTGTACCTCCATTTTCTCATCTGTAAGGTGGGGGTGATGATTGTCACCCCATAAGGTCGTTGTAAGGGGCCACACATGTTCCCATGTGTGAGATGCTGAGAGAGTTACCCAGCATGGACAGGAGGGACAGCCAGTGTTTACTGAATTGTGAATGAGGGGATGTTACCCTTGAGTGGGCTCCAGCGTCCTGTCCTGTAGGTGGAAAGACCGAGGCTCAGAGAGCTCAGTAACATGCCCCCAGGAGCAGGGTCCAAGCCTGCCTTGTTCCCCCAACCACCTGCGAGGAACCTGGGCATCTTCCTGGCCACCGGCCAAGTGGACATCGCCAGGAAAGAGTGAGGTCCGGGGCAGGAGGACCAGTCAGCATCATGGCCTGCAGCACGACCTACCTGGTTCTCTCCCACCTGTGTCTATGAGAAGCACAGCCCAGGGTCCGGGCTGGGCAGCCAGGGGACTAAAAGACCCCCTTGTGTCTGGGGCAAAGGGCTCTGGGACGCAGTAGGCCTCCCATCCTTTGTGCCTGGAGCAGGCACCCTGTGAGTGTACCTGCAGGGCCAGCCCTTAGCAAGCCAGCGCCCGGGCCTGCCGGAGCCCCAGGCCTCATGCTGAATGTCCGCAGGCCCACTCAGTGGCCTGCCCTCGGACGAGCCTCAGGTCTGGCTCGTGGAGCTGAGGGGGGCAGGAGCTGGACCTCAAATCCCAGGCTGCCCCTCCTAACAGAGCCCTGTGTGTCACATGGCAAAGCTATCACTTCTGACAGTTCTTACACGGACCAGACTCTGGCCTGGACTTGTGATGGTGGCATGCCATGGGTGGCACTGGCCCGGTCCTTGGGGGAGCTCACAGGTGTGTCACAGAGAGTGGAAGGGACCCTGCTCAGACCCCAGTCCACGGCCCCCTGTGCTCCCATTTGGTTTTTTTTTTTTTTAGATGAGTCTCACTCTGTTGCCAGGCTGGAGTGCAGTGGTGCAGTCTCGGCTCACTGCCACCTCTGGCTCCCGAGTTCAAGCAATTCTCCTTTCTCAGCCTCCCTAGTAGCTGGGACTACAGGTGCGTGCCACCACATCCAGCTAATTTTTGTATATTTTTTTCCCTTTTTTTTCTTTGTTTCTCATTTTAACCGATTCTGCAATAAATTTTTGTAATTTTAGTAGAGAAGGGGTTTCACCATGTTGGCCAGGATGGTCTCGATCTCTTGACCTTGTAATCTGCTTGCCTCGGCCTCCCAAAGTGCTGGGATTACAGGCATGAGCCACTGCACCTGGCCAGTGCTCCCATTTTGTAGGCGAGCAGCCGGCAGGCTAGAATTCAAGCCTTGGCCTCTGTGGCCCCGGAAGCCCATGGGCTTGGAAGCTGGGCCTGCCTCTGGTTGAGGGTCACAGGAAGCGTTTTCCTTTGGGTTGGGAATGCCAGTGGCCTCCCTGATGGCAGGTGCTCCTGTCTTACAGACCAGCCAGTTCCTGCTGGAAGCCCCTGGTCCGATCTGGGAAGATCATGTCCAAGCCCCCTGACCTCCTGCTGCGGCTGCTCCGGGGCGCCCCAAGGCAGCGGGTCTGCACCCTGTTCATCATCGGCTTCAAGTTCACGTTTTGCGTCTCCATCATGATCTACTGGCACATCGTGGGAGAGCACAAGGAGCAGGGGCAGCTCTATAACCTGCCAGCAGATATCCCCTGCCCCACCTTGGCACCCCTCACCCCTCCCTCCCACAGCCCCCCTCCGGGCGACATCTTCTTCCTAGAGACTTCGGACCGGACCAACCCCAACTTCCTCTTCATGTGTTCAGTGGAGTCGGCCGCTAGAACTCATCCTGAATCCCGTGTGCTGGTCCTGATGAAAGGGCTTCCAGGTGGCAACGCCTCCCTGCCCCGGCACCTGGGCATCTCGCTTCTGAGCTGCTTTCCGAATGTCCAGATGCTCCCGCTGGACCTGCGGGAGCTGTTCCGGGACACACCCCTGGCTGACTGGTATGCAGCGGTGCAGGGGCGCTGGGAGCCCTACCTGCTGCCTGTGCTGTCTGATGCCTCCAGGATCGCACTCATGTGGAAGTTCGGTGGCATCTACCTGGACACGGACTTCATTGTCCTCAAGAACCTGAGGAATCTGACCAACGTGCTGGGCACCCAGTCCCGCTACGTCCTCAACGGCGCCTTCCTGGCCTTTGAGCGCCAGCACGAGTTCATGGCGCTGTGCATGCGGGACTTCGTGGACCGCTACAACGGCTGGATCTGGGGCCACCAGGGCCCCCAGCTGCTCACGCGTGTCTTCAAGAAGTGGTGCTCTATCCGCAGCCTCACCGAGAGCCATGCCTGCCGCGGGGTCACCACCCTGCCCCCCGAGGCCTTCTACCCCATCCCCTGGCAGGACTGGAAGAAGTACTTCGAGGACATCAGCCCCCAGGAGCTGCCCCGGCTGCTCAATGCCACCTATGCCGTCCACGTGTGGAACAAGAAGAGCCAGGGCACACACTTCGAGGTCACGTCCAGGGCGCTGCTGGCCCAGCTCCATGCCCGCTACTGCCCCACGACGCACAAGGCCATGAAGATGTACTTGTGAGGGGCCCGCCAGGCCACCTCCCTGACCCGCTCCCGTTGGAGGGGGCACTTGGCCGCTCTTCCTGGGGAGGCGAGATTGGGGGCCCAGGAGAGGGAGGTCTGAGCTGCCACCGGGCTTAGGCTGTTGCAAAGGAGGAGCTGTGGGAGCAGGCCCGGTGGGAGGCTGTGGACACCCTCAAGACAGTGCCCTATGTCAGGGCAGGGCTGACACGTGGCGCCAGGCCCAGCAGAGTGAGCTCAGTGAGTGCCCCGGGACTTGCAGATGACAGACAGGAAGGATGAACCTTAGGGCACCCCTGGGTGGCGTGGGAAGCCAGGCAGTTTGGGCAGAGGTGCCCTCGAGGCCAGTGCTAAGGGGAAGGAGGGATGAGGTTCCAAAGAAGAGGGGAGGCGGGAAGAGGTAGGAGGTGGTGGGGAGTCGGGGGAGACCTAGCCCCAGGGGCCCGGGTGGGGAGTGCTTTTTTCTGGTTTTGGTTCCTCTTTCGGAGGGGCCCTCAAGGACTGAGCAGGGCAGAGGCCCAGCAGTGCCAGCCTGGGGAGCCTGTTAGGGGCAGCCCCTCCTGCCCACGCCATCCTTCCTCCTCTCCAGAGATTCAAGGGGGGCACGTACCCTCTGCCTATTCACTCAGACAAGGGGTGGGGGTTCTCTAAAGAACATCCGCCTCCCCATTATAAACACAGGAGAATAATGAACAGAATAAAAGTGACCGGCTGTCACCTAGTCCCTGTGATTGCTGAAGTGCATTCAGGCTCACAGCCTCCTCCACTCACTTCTGACCAGGAAGCCGCTGGGTGGGCTGGCGGTGACTTCGACGCGATCTCACAACCTGCCCTGCACGGAAAGGCTTGGGACCTGGCTCCTAGCCCGGCGTCCCTAGTGATGGGGAGCCCCTGAGATGGGGAATGGGGGAGGCCTGTTTTTCCCTCCTTTTTCAAGGCTCGCAAACACCCGAGGATGAGTCCCACCAGCACAACCACCCCCATAACAACCCTGAATCTGTTTCACATAAATGGCACCAAACGAGGACACTGAGGAGCCTACGCTGGAGCAGGGGTGAGGACAGCCCGTCCAGGGAGCGGTCCCGGCAAGGGAGCTGTGAGGGCCTGTGGGGTCCCTCTGGCCTCAGCCTGGATGCCTGGCTGAGATCCTGGGAGGGACCTGAAGGGCCTGTGGGTGGCTCCAGGGCTGGGCCGCAGGAATATCTGCTCCCAACAGGGTGAGGCCTCAGCTGGTTCGCATTGTGGAAGCTGCCTGGGCGTTCCCACCAAGCTGGAAGAGAGCTCCCCGGCGGGACTGGGGCTGCTGCCAGGAGCACTGGGGCTCAGCGGGCTGCTTTTTGGCAGCTGAAGCAGGAGATGTTCGTTAGGCTACGTTTTCTGCCCACAGACCATCTTGGGTGGCATGGGAAGGAGGTGAGCTCCCTGGCTCTTAGGAGTATTCAAGAGTAGGTTATGTGTTTTGGGTTTGGGGTTTTTTTTCTTTTGAGACGGAGTCTTGCTCTGTCACCCAGGCTGGAGTGCAATGGCCCCATCTTGGCTCACTGCAACCTCCACTTCCTGGGTTCAAGTGCGTCTCCTGCCTCAGCCTCCCAAGTAGCTGGGACTAAAGGCACCCACCACCATGCTGGTTAACTTTTTTGTATTTTTAGTAGAGACGGGGTTTTGCCATGTTGGCCAGGCTGGTCTCGAATTCCTGACCCCAAGTGATCTGCCTGCCTCGGCCTCCCAAAGTGCTGGGATCACAGGCAGGAGCCGCTGCGCCTGGCCCATAGGGTTTTTAAGTCAGCCAAAGTGTGGCAATCCTTCACTGGCTGAAGAGTACAGGGTGAAGTCCTGGGACAGGGACATGAAGAAACTGTGTTCTCACAGTGATTTCATTTATCTGGGGGGAGGGGCCTTTAAACTCCTTAGCATCCGCTGTTTCACAGGAATTTGGGATCTGAGAAACATCTTAAGCTCATGCCTGTAATCCAAGCACTTTGGGAAACTAAGGTGGGTGGATCACCTGGGATCAGGAATTCAAGACCCGCCTGGCCAACACGGTGAAACCCCGTCTCTACCAAAACTACAAAAATGAGCCAGGCACAGTGGCGGGCACCTGCAATCCCAGCTACTCTGGAGGCTGAGGCAGGAGAATCGTATGAACCCGGGAGGCAGAGGTTATAGTACTCTAAGATCACACCCACCACTGCACTCCAGCCTGGGTAACAGAGCGAGACTCTGTCAAAAAAACAAAAAATGTGCATAAATGTCTGCTTAGGGCAGAGAGGTGGGTAGGAAGTGCCAGTTCCCAGGCAGGGTGCTGTTGACTCCTTGTCCACAGCCATTCTCCTCCCCCTTCTTTTTTGCTAAGGGAACCCCAGCTTTGTTCGACCCTCAGGTAGCCTCGGGCTGTAGAGGAAGCGGGCCCTCCGTCGGCCCTGGGGGCGAATCTCCACTGGTCTAAGGCAGTCGTAGTTGTTCCAGTCCCTTCCTAGTAATTGGAGTGGAAACGGGCGTGCAGTGCTATTCTGGCCAATGAGAGGGAAAGTCGGCTGGAAAAGGGGGTGTCTGAGAAAATTTTCATAGAAAAGAAAGCAACATTTATTTTCAGCATTTGGCATAAGGGTGTAATGGTTAGCACAATGGCAGCCATCTTGAGGCCGTGAGGGGACACGTCTGAGATCAGAAGTCACCACACCAGATCCTTGAAGACACAGATCTCAACGAGCTGCTGAATTAACCAACCCTGGAGGTGGCCTATCCCGACTCCTTGTCTGTCACGTGTGTTAGATGCTGTGTGCTGTCCTCAAGTGTGCGTTCTTCCTGCAGTCCTTAGTGATAGGACACCCTGAGTTCTAGGCGGGTGTGTCACCTCCCTTTGGCAGCAGGCTGTGGCTGTGTGACTAAGTCGAGGCCAACGGGATGTGGCAGAAGTGATGTGTGCGAGTCATGGATAGTCTCAGACATTTGCTCAGGCACTCCTCCCTGCTTCCCACAAACTGGAGCATGGCAGCAACTGGAGCCCTTTGCAGGAACATTTTGGGGGTGGCGGAGTGGTCCCAGTGGCCTTGGGACTGTGACGTGAGACAAACAATCTTCTTTTTTTCTTTTCTTTTTTTTTTTGAGACGGAGTTCTACTCTGTTGCCCAGGCTGGAGCGCAGTGGTGCAATCTCAGCTCACTGCAACCTCCGCCTCCTGGGTTCAAGCGATTCTCCTGCCTCAGCCTCCCAAGTAGCTGGGACTACAGGTGTGCGCCACCATGCCTGGCTATTTTTTTTTTTTTTTTGAGACGGAGTTTCACTCTTGTTGCCCAGGCTTTAGTGCAATGGCGCAATCTCGGCTCACTACAACCTCCGCCTCCCAGGTTCAAGCAATTCTGCCACCTCATCCTCCGGAGTAGGGGGATTACAGGCATCAACCACCACACCCAGCTAATTTTGTATTTTTTGGAGAGACGAGTTTTCTCCCTGTTGGTCAGGCTGGTCTTGAACTCCTGGCCTCAGATGATCTGCCTGCCTCGGCCTCCCAAAGTGCTGGGATTACAGGCATGAGTCACAGTGCCAGACCTAATTTTTTTATTTTTAGTAGAGACAGGATTTCACTATGTTGGCCAGGCTGGTCTTCAGCCAACTCCTGACCTCAGGTGATCTGACTGCCTTGGCCTCCCTAAGTGCTGGGATAACAGGTGTGAGCCATCGTGCCTGGCCCGGCCTCGTTTCTCTCCTTGGAAGTTGGTGGGGGCTGGGGCTGGGTTCTGAGTCTTGACGGTGGACCACAGCTGGGTGGCATCATTCCCTCTGAGCTCAGGTCTCACTTCTCGGTTCCCTGCTGCTGCTGCATGCGTCCTAGAAGGGGATGCTCCTCCCGCCCACCCTGCATTGCAGCACAGGTCACACCTGAGTGCGATTAGGGCCTGAAGCCTGGTCCCACACTGACGCCCAGCCTCACAGCGGAATTCCCAGCACGCCTTGCACTGGGCTGGTCCAGGTTAGAACAAGCAGAGATTTAGGAATAAGCGAAGCATGAAGCCGGACTTCCAGGAACACAGGGGCTCACTCATCCCTGATGTCTGGTAGGTACTCAGAGGAGGACGTTACAATTTAATATTTAAACAAGAAGTTGAAAATTGATACACCAGGCGGGGGAAACTATTTTCCCTCCCCTAGAGCTGCTGGGAAAGCAACTTCCTGCTTGCCTGTGCCTGGCCAGCTGGGAAGATTCCTATCACTGACAGGATGCCAGCCCCAGGGTCCCTGTTGAGCCTGGCAGTGCCCCCCAGTAAAGGTTGGGTCCACCTCTTTCTCAGTCCTGGCCAAAAACATCTGTGAACACACCCACTAGAAACAAGCCAGGAACGAACCGCAGCTCTGAGGATCTGATTACATTTCCCCAGGGCAGCTTTCCACAGATCGAGCACCCCTCCCTCCTTTCCCAGAACTCACTTGCCCAACAACTGTTCCTCCTGCAAGGTGGGGGGGCAGCCTGAGGCAACCAGGCCGTCAGGCGACAGCCAGCTGGGTTGCGGTGGGGGGCCGGACAAAGTGCAGGGTCCCTCTGGAATCCCCCTAGGCAGAGGGCAAGGGCCAGACTCCTCCCGTAGCTGTGGGGGCTCCAAAGGGGACACTGGACTCTGGTCTTTGGCTGTTGGCACAAGGAGGTGGAGAGTGGTCGCTGCCACCCGAGGCGGGCACTGGACCCCGGCTCCCCAGCCAGCCTCCTTCCTACCCTGCGCACCAGACAGTGAAGGTATGGGTTCAAATCTTAGCACTGTCACCTACTTGCTGAGCCTCTGTTTCTCCCGTGTGGAAAGTGGAGGTGTGATAATCACACCACCCTGTCATAGAGAATGTGCTTTGTGCCAGGGGCTGGGCTGGCTCATTTGATCATTACAACTGTGCTGGGAGGGGGCACCACCCATCTCTTTGCAAAAGAGGAAACACAGCTCTGGCCAGGGGTCAGAGGCCAGGAGGCAGGAACAGGATCTGTGTTGCCCTGCCCTGCCCTGAGTCTTAGGCCCCTTGCTTCCAGCCCAGAGATGCAAGAGCATAGCACCATGATGGGCAGAGGCTGGGGTCCTCACCTGGCACCTTCTTGCCTTCCAGCCTTTCTGCTACCACCCCTGCCCTGCCTATGCCCGTCTTTACTGCCTCTGTTCTCCAGGATGCTGCTGTTACTTCTGGCCAACAGGATCCTGGCCCATTTACAACAGCTGCATTAAGAGGCTGGGCTGAGGCCGGGCGTGGTGGCTCATACCTGTAATCCCAGCACTTTGGGAGGCTGAGGTGGGCAGATCACTTGAGGCCAGGAGTTCGGGACCAGCCTGGCCAATACGGTGAAACCCCATCTCTACCAAAAATACAAAAGTTAGCCGGTCTTGGTGGTGGGTGCCTGTAATCCCAGTTATTCAGGAGGCTGAGGCAGGAGAATTGAACCTGGAAGGCAGAGGTTGCAGTAAGTGGGGTGAGGGAGACTTGGTGTCCTTTTCCGTGGAACAGGAGACCCCATTTATCTCTGCCATGAGACCACATCCTCCTCCTGGAGCCCAGAGTGGGGTTCCCTTTTGGCCCAAGCCCAGTCCAGGGTGGGACAGCACACATGTGCTTACTGAGGGGTGAATAAATGAGAAACATCCCCAAAGGCTGAGCCAGCTGCACAGACCCCAAGCCTTCTCCAGGGGCATGCAGTCCCCTCTGATGTTCCCCGAAAGATGTCAGAGCCTCCACGTGCAGAGGCT